CCCCAAAACCCCAAAACCCCAAAACCCCAAATGTCAAGATAAGTTTTAGAATTGATGAAATTAAGCAAAAATTGTGAGATAAAATAAATCATCAGTTATTGCTTCCAAGACTTTTTAATCTATTTCTTGTCATTCTAATTGGGGTATTGTTTGCTTAAATATCTGAAATTTAAGGTTTCTTGGGAGTTTGAGTCTTGCTATTCTTGCTCTAGTTCTAGATAACATCCTATTTCTAGTTTTACTGTGTCCTAGTTTTAATCGGAGTTTTCCTCATTGAATCATCCTCATCGATTTGAACTTCAAAATCAGACTCAGATGACTGTTTACTTTATTCGGGCTCTTGCTGATCTGACATTTGTTAATAATCCTCATTGTTACTTTCATCTTCCTTATAATTATTGCCTTATTCTTATTTTGAGTTTCTGAGTTCTCTTCTACTTCTTGTAAGGGCAACACCGACTGCTGGTATACTACTCTAAGGTTTTTACTATTAAACTCTCATAGGTCTAATCTTTTTATTTGGTTTGATATAGTTAAAAATCTCATTCTCCTCCACAAGTTTCTCTATTAAGATTAGAGCAGCTTTAGCGCACATACTGAGCAAGTCCTTTTTATCTAATCCTTTTGCATAAATATTTAATATTCTCTTTAATTCATTGTAGAATTCTTCATGATTCTTATAAGTCTCTTATGCTTCATTGTCCACCACTTCATTAAACAGTTGCTAAACGCTTTTAACCTTAACTTCTTAATTTTCTCCAACTTCAGCTAGCTTCTTCTTAATTAACTAATCCTTCTGTTCTTGAGATAGTTTTGAGTCGTCAAAGAACATCCCCAAACAATAATAATCTCTTAAGATATCTAGCATTTAGATGGCCTTATCCTCCCATGTAGGAGTGTTGTCAGCAAGCTCATCGCAAACGGGTCTTTCACTTGGAGCCATCCTAGGAACCATTCTCAAACCATATTTTGTAACCTTGCAGAAATAGCATTTCCATTTACCTCTAGGACATTACTTTTCATAGCCGAGACATTCTGAGTGAAATGCTGAAGGGCAATCATCACAACAAATTAACTTGCCAGGATTAAGACATATTCCACACACATCTGCATTACCATCATAAGTTTTTTTGCCATTTCCAGTCCCTCCATTCTCATTATCTTCTTCTTACGCTCCCTATAATCCTACAAGCCCAGTTTAGAATACTAACTTAGAATCATCCCATTTGTCAACACTATATGAGAATTATCTTGTTATCTATTAACTTACTTAAGCATATCTTCATAAGTTAGGTCAAACTTCTTAGGTCTGCCTCTTTTCTTAATCAAAGACTAGATAACCTCCTCTTTTTCATTGACTAACTTGTTGATGGGTTCACTTTGCATAACTTTTTAATCCAAGAAACCCATTTGACTCAATAGATTGTAGTTTTGAATTATGGCTTGCATCTTCGTAGATTCAAAGTTATGCGGTCTATGCTTGAACCTTGAATTCGCCTCGTAACCCGTGTTTTACCTTTTATAAGCGCTTTCATAATCTTCTTCAAAGTTATTGTCCCTACCAGACAACTTTGTATCATGAATTCTCTGAGCATCTTTGAAATTATAATGCATCTGTCTCGTTCTTTTTCTAGCGGTTTTTTAAGAAGTGGCATCATTGAAGATTCTCTCAGTTAGTTCATTGTCCGTTAGAAGCCACTCAAACTTTTCATCAATAGAATCATGCAACTCAAGCAATTAAGTATCAGTTATATCAAATAGTCTTTCAGTGTTAGGTTGAGTTAATATTTCTTTGACTTTCTTGTAAAGGTCTCTGACACTGATGAAATCACTTTCACTCAAATAGTCATTTATCTTATTCAAAGAAGAGAAAAGTGGTTCTGAATGAAGCATATCCCAAAAATAAAGAGTGTAGTTGTCAGAATTCAGACTGCTATTGATACCTCTCCTAAATAAAAGTAAATAAAGATTTAATTCTACGTTTTAGGGAATTTATAGCTGCATTTTTAGCATTCGTTTTTGAAAAACGGGTTGACTTCATTGCATTTTTTACAGATCTTCTTTTCTTTCCCGGAAAAAGCATAATCGCCAGTTATTCTATCTTTCCAAGTTATTTATTGTTCCCCATCAATAGATCTCAAGGCCATACTCTAATGATTCATTGACCTAATATTGGTTATCTCAATTGGATCAGGTATCTTGAAATCTTGATTATCATTTTTAGCCACCTCCTTAGAGTCTTCATTAGGAATCTCTGATTATTTCTTACTCAGAGTTGACTTGCTATCAATACTGGCATTCTTTTTAAAACTCTCTTGCATACTTAATTGATTTTCCTTTGCAGTCACTGAAGCTGGCACCTAAGTACCGGGAGCTGCTTAAGGACCGGGCTTCTTTTCATATTATAGGCCACAATGATTACAGAACTCACTATTAGTTAATATCGAATCACAGTTCACGCATACTTAATCATTGGATATAATTTCCTCATCTTTTCTACAAAACCTAACTCTTGGGAAGAAGGTATTTTTATCAATGTGTGCCTAAATCTAATCAAGGATTGACTGAGTCATTTTCTCTATAGTCTATTGCTTTTCCTCGTCAGTTTTGAATACAGGCAGCTGGCTGCACAAAGCTGCGGCAAAGTCTTGTGGTCTGAGTCTGGGTTCCATTAAGTCCCAGTCGAATTTGTCTCTAATGATGAATTTATTGCAAATTCTCACATCAAGCTGCAAAAATGATTTTAATATATAATATGTGGTTTACAACTATTGGAGCAATTTTCTTATCAAAGGAAAGTTTAGACAAATTGACTGCAGGCACTTTGTTGTTTGGGGGCTTTAATGGTTAGATCCTTCTTAGATCTTGCATTTGCTCAAAGTAGGTGTCTGTATCAAATAACATTTCAATTTATAATTATTAATTTAATTGAGACTTAATTACATTTTAATATTGAGACGATAAGCCTAGCAGAAATTAAATTTTCACTCATTTTCAAGAACATTTTTAGACTTTTGAGAAATTTTGATATCAGAATGGAATGATTCAGAAAATAGTATAATAACAGAAGTAATAGAGTACGATCAGTTCAAAACTAGCAGATGTATAAGAGCAGAAGGAGATGTATGTTTGGGATTAATGTAGAATTTATAATGAGTTGAAAATGAATGTTTTATGAGATTATTGGTTAATTTAAGATATAATTAATTAATTTCATTAATCTCTAACTCTTTCGAATATCTTTGAAAATGGCAGAATCTTGCTAACATTTAACTTAAGCTAATCTCACCAAGAACATCCAGGGGAAACTCATTTACAAGGATGAATGCACCAGATGCTTCTAATCAGCTGTAATTCTTGCCATATTATCTAATATATAAATCTAGAAATCTGATAACGGAGTCGATCTGTGCTTGAAATGCTTCAATGGAGGGTGCAATGACTAGGAGTTCAATCACTCAAGACTTCACTTCCAAATGAGCAGTCATCCAATAGTCCTTAACATTAAGCAAGTTTTAAAGGTAAACTCTATCTCTCATATTATCAATATTATCTAGCCAAGGGAAAATGAGGGATAACCAGCACAGATCACTAAACTAGCAATTGGCAAGCCAGGTGGAATAGATGCAACTGGAGATGAATATGACACTCAAGTCTAGCTGAAATGCTTGGCTTGTGATGGCAAGGTATTATCTCATGAAAACCCAGAGGTCAAAGGATTGGTAGACTCAGTTTTACAAGCATAGTCTGCATATTTCCAGCAAACTCTCTCAGAATGGGAGTTAAAGCTAGAATCATGCGAGCACTGTCTCCTCCTAGATCAATCTAACTCACAAAAGATAGCAGCTAAGAGTCTAGCTCATTGTAATGAATGTGATTTATCTGCAAACTTGTGGCTATGCATGTCGTGTGGGCATTTAGGTTGTGGTAGAAAGAACTGGGATGGCACTGGTGGAAATAATCATGCAGTAGAGCATTTCGAGAGTCATTAGCATCCCTTGGTATGCAAATTAGGAACCATCACTCCTGAAGGCAGTGCTTGTAAGATTTTATCAGAATGTATCAATTAATTTAGCAATCTATTGTTACTCATGCAATGATGATAGGAATGATGAGAACTTGGCTTAGCATTTATCACAATTAGGTATTGATGTAAAGTCTCAAACTAAGACTGAGAAGACCATGCAAGAACTAGATCTAGAACTTAACCTTAACTTTACTCTGTCAAAGATCTTAGAGGAGGGTAAGGAACTGATTCCCCTCTTTGGAAGTGGTTTCACAGGCCTTGATAACCTTGGTAATTCATGCTACATGAACAGTGTTCTCTAAGTGCTCTTTGCTCAACCCGAATTCGCTTAGAAATACCTTGATAACTCCTTAATGCATTTGATGACTTGCGGCAAGTTCTCACCAGAGTGTCTGGACTGCTAGATATCGAAACTAGTTCATGGTCTGTACAGCGGTATTTACTCTCAATAGAAACTGGCAAAGAAAGTTGCATATGAAGGCTAGTCTGAGGAAGAGAAGAAAAAAGAAGAGTTTTACTAGGACGGAGTGAAGCCACATATGTTCAAGACTTTGGTAGGTAAGGGTCATCCTGAGTTCCAAACTTCTCAGCAGCAAGACGCCCAGGAGTATTTCTTCTATCTGTTGGAGAAAATATAAAGACTTGAAAGATCAAATGGCAATGCTAATCCAGGAGAGATATTTGACTTTGAATTGGAGTCAAGAGTGCAGTGCTAGGAATGCGGAGGAGTCAAATATTCCTAGAGCAAGGTATCATAGCTGAATATTTAAGCGCCAGTTGATTCCAGTGTAGAAAAAGGCACACCTGTTGATTTAGAAGCATGCTTAGAGAAGTTCTTCGGTGAAGAATAAATCCCTGATTTCAACTGCTCAAATTGCAATAAAAAGACAGTGTGCGTAAAGAGACAAAGACTGAATAGCTTCCCTAAGGTCTTGATCTTAACTCTTCAACGCTTTGTTTTCGATAACTGGGTTCCAAAGAAATTAGAAATTGAACTCTAAGTGCCTCAAGACCACAACGACTTCGAAAGATTCAGAGGCAACAACGGCCAGCTAGCAGAAGGAGAATTCTAATTACCTCAGCAAGAAGCAGCCTAGCAAGAAGATGCAGAGCCTGAATTAAACTAAGATCTCCTTAATCAAGTTATTATGATGGGCATCCCGGAAAATGCTGCTAAGCATGCTCTCTTTAACTCTGGAAATAACTCTGCGGACATGGCAACAATGTGGTACTTTGACAACATGGATAATCCATGTAAGTTTACAAAACTATGCTTTAATAAATTATAGCTTTGAACGAACCCTTGAGAGTGAAGAAAGCAGGGGGAGCTGCATCATCTGGAGACAATGTTCCTTAAGATTTGATTGATCAATTAGTAAGCTTTGGGTTCACTGAGAAAAAAGTCAGAAAAGCTCTGAAATCTTGTGTAAGAAATATTTTCTATAACTTGAGTAGGATAATAATCCAGAAAGAGCAGGAGAATGGTTGTTTAGTCATATGGATGATCCAGATAGTGATCATGAAATGACAGATGTCAATCAGGAAAGTTTATTTGAGGACAAGATACCAGGAATTTACAAGCTCAACAGTTTCATCACCCATTTGGGAACAAGTGTGCATTGTGGGCATTATGTATGTCATATCAGAAAGGACGGTAAATGGGTTTATTACAATGATGCTAAAGTCGCTCAAACTAATGAACCCCCTATTGGAAAAGGCTACATGTATTTCTTTAGAAAGATTGACCCAGAATTACAACAATGATACTGCCACAAGAAAGTTTTTATGCTATTCATATAATTTGTAGTTCTTTAACTTTCAATATTCAACTCAAATGTTAAAGATTTATTATATCTAAATTTATCATATGGATCTTATTGTTTCATTAATTCTGATTTTTAAGATCATTCTCTTAGGAGTTCTAATTCTTGTCTTGTTTTCACTAGTTCTTGTAGAACCTCATAGTGATCGAAGGCAAATTTATCTGGCTGTTAAAGCAATTCTCTAATTGAATAAAATGCTGCTGTTGAAGCATCATCTCCTGCCACTAATTAAGAGTCATCTGCAACTTTGACAACATAGAAGATTGAAATCATGTGATATCTTGGATCTCTGTCAGGTTTACCTTTCACAGTGAATATCTCAGGCTAACTACCTCTAATTCCACATTCTTCTTCTAATTCTCTGATACAAGCAACTACTGGATCCTCCCCATAATCAATATGTCCACCTGGGAAAGCATACTTACCATGGAAGGTCTCCTTCTTTCTAGTAATTAGCAGAACCTTAAAGTCTTTATTCTCTTTGTCCTCCTTCAATACAATTGCGTCTGCTGCTGTTCTAGGTACTAGCCATCCATCAATTTTTTCTGGGTATGGTCTTCCGAATGGATCTGTTTTTACTTCTTCTGTCATGTTGGTTAATTTACGAGTTGTTAATAAAATTAAATAATTTAATTAGGTAGGTATTCTATTAATTTCTTTGACATAACGCAATCTTATTAAACAATCACTCTTTTTTAGGAACCTACCCAATCAACTAGATCTTTATCTTCTCCATTGCAATGAAACAGGTGCATGACCACAAACTGAGTCTCATAAAGTTGGGGATGAAACCCTTGTAGAAGGCTCCTGGCCCCTCCTCCTTCATCATGCGAGTGAAAGCATTAACTACTCCGGTATAGGAATCTGGGCTGCTCATAAGTCTAGTCTTTACAACGTCAGCAGGACTAGCGACTATAGTAGCAACAAAGCCAGCCATGAAACCAGCGGTAAAGTGAGTGATTGTGTTATCCTTCATTCTTGTATACATCAACAACATCTGCTTGAATTGATCGTAACTAGCCATCTCTCCTACGTTAACACACACGTTTCTGACAATGTTTGGTTGAATTCCTCTGTAAAATCCCCAGAATGTTTCATTTTAGTAGATTGTCTTGTAAACGGTAATTGAGGAAGGCATCTTTCCACCTGAAGCACCTATTTCTCTAGCAATTGATTGCATTCTGACCTTAACAACGTCCTATATCAAGTTGAACACTTTCCTAATATCATACCATTGGGTTAGCGAAGAAGATAGAGAAGCAGCCAGTGACAGCAGCGGCAGCTATTTTCTTATGAAGAGGGGGTAGTTCCCCTGGCTTAAGATTTGGACACATGGCATTTCTAACCTAAAATTACATTTACTCACGCTATTTCTTTGCTTACATGTTCATAGAGACCAAATCTGACTGAGCAGTTAACGAACTATCTTTATAATCCTGGAGTAAGACCTCTAAATAGACTAATGACTCCCCCTTCAGATGCAATCTTAGTAATTGCTTGTACCATTCCTGTATACTTAGGAGTCTCTCCTAAGGGTGTCTTTTGCAATTGCATTCTAACTTTTGCTTGATCGATTGGAATTGTGATGCTCTATGTATATGTTAGTTGAGACGATATTAATTACCTCAGCGATACAAGCTCCAAGTGCTCCTGCAAGCATATTGGCTAGTAGAGGATTCATTCCCTTCTTTTGTTGTTGATGTGAGCTCATCTTTTCGTATTTAAGATTTTAAATGTTAATAATATCTGAAATTTCTAGAAAGTGAATATTTCTTCTCCTAACTGATTTTAGATTTACTACCTTATGGGGTTTTGGGGTTTTGGGGAGATCGGAAGAGCGTCGTGTA